TCGAACCCAGGACTCTCTGGTCCTCAGGCCGACGTTCCAACTGCTGAGCCAAACTGGCCAGGGCTGGATTTTTATTTATTTATTTTTATTTTTTTAAAAGGCTGTCCTAGTGGGTGTGAAGTGGTATCTCATTGTGGTTTTGATTTGCATTTTTCTAATGACTAAAGATGTTGAGCATCTCTTTGGGGTCTTGTAAGCATTTGTGTACATTCTTTGGAGAAATGTCTTCAAGTACTTTGCCCATTTTCTAACTGGGTTGTTTGTCTTTTTGTTGTTGAATTGTAAGAGTTCTTTGTATGCTGTACATGCTAGCCCCTTATTAGATATATGACTTTCAAATATTTTCTCCCATCTTGTGGACTGTCTTTCCCCTCTTTTTTTTTTTTTAATCCTCACCTGAGGACACTTTTGCATTTATCTTCAGATAAAGCAGTAGGGAGAGAGGGAGGAAGAGAGAGAGAGAGAAACATTGACATGAGAGAGATACATCGAGTGACTGCCACTCACACAACCCCAACCCGGGCCGGGACAAACTGCAACTGAGGTACGTGCCTTAGGGGAACCGAACCCAGGACTCTCTGGTCCATGGGCCAACAATCTAACCTCTGAGCCAAACTGGCCTGAGCTCCTTCTCTTTCTTGATAGTATCCTTTGATGTACAAAAGTTTTAAATTCTGATGAAGTCCAATTTATCTATTTTGTTGTTGTTATTTTTCTGTGCTTTTGGTGTCACACCTAGAGTCCATTATCAAATCTAAGGTCACCCCAGCCCCATTCATTCAAAAGATTATTCTTTCCCCATTAAATGGTCTTGGCATTCTTGTCAAAAATCAATTGTCCATGAACGTATGGGTTTATTTCTGGACTCTGAATTCTATTCCATATCTATATGTCTAGTTTTATGTCAGTAACACAGTCTTAACTACTGTGGCTTTGTAGTAAGTTTTCAAATCAGAAGTGTGCATCCTCCAACCTTGTTCTTTTCTAAGACTGTTCTGGCTATTTACGGTACCTTGCAATTCCATATGAATTTTAAAATCAGTTTTTCCATTTCTGTAAAAAAAAAAAAAAAGGCTATTGGAATTTTGACAGGGATACTCAATCTAGAGATCACTTAGGGGAGTACTGCCATCTTAACAATATTAAGTGCAAGATGACTTAATTTTAACATCAAAATTATAAGCACCATTATTAACTTTATTAGGGAAAATGTTGCTTTGAAGTTGAGGCCAACATATCTGCATAGACTCTCCTCTTAAACATATCTAGCAATATTAACAGAATTATGTGACACAAAAGGTAGCAGTGGTAGACAGAGAAATGCGGCATAACCTAGAATGACTTCTGTCCACTTTGATATATAAAACAGTTATCTCTTCTCCTGATTTTAACAATTTTGCCAGTCTAGGGAACAGGATTATACAACAGTAAATTAAAGTTTATATGACCAAAACACTGGGAAGACAGACAACTCTTCCCTTGTTCAATCTGCCCTCTCCCCAACACTTGCCAAAATAAATGAGAGGAAGCTGGGCAGGTTTTGGTTTTGTGATTTATAACCAAACCACAGAACTGGGACAAGGGACTTTCACTTCTTCCACAGAACTGTTTAAAACATTAACTCAGTGGAAGGTGCCAAAAAGTTTCCAAAAAGGAAATATTCCAGGAGGGTAAGGAAGTGATAATCATAGAATATTCAACCTTTGCCTATTTCCACTGTACCCAAAAATAATCTACTCCTATTGGCTTGGAAAATAGAGCCTCTACTTAGAATACATGGTATCTTAATTTTTCCACACACTTTTGCACCCATTTTCTCTTTCTGATAAATCTTGAAAGGTTAATCAAACATAAAGGCAATCCTGACCTTTTAATATATTAAATATTCCTTCATGTTCCTGGCTTATGTGTTTTGGCAGTGCAGTTCTGCCACAAATGCTGGCAGGGAACATGTAGTATTCTCATTGAAATAATATGGACCTACTAACATTGTTTCTGGACACTGTCCTTCAACACAGTCACATTAGGTGACTTCTTCCTAATTCTAGTGGAAGAGTGTGAACCTCAGAGCTTAGGCTGGAGATAAATCACAATAGGATCCAGGTCAAGGGGGCCCTCATGATTCATCTTGGACAAAAGAGAAAGCTGCCCGAGAACCTTATTCCTTGAAGGGAGGAATCATGTATAACTCTAAATCACAATTACCCCTCACCCAGTTTTTTGGCATCTCCTTTACACTTAGCCTACTGAATTTGCTCAGTAGGTATTGGTTAAATGTAATGACCAATTGGTCTCTAATCTAGAGGCCATCAAAATCATCTGTAAAACTTTCAAAAGACACTGATTAGAAACTCTGCCCAAGATTTATTCAGCATGTATAAGGATGGTGTCCAAGCATTTCCAGTTTAAAATATTCCATAGGTGCCCTGGCCGGTTTGGCTCAGTGGTTAGAGCATTGGCCTGTGGTCTGGAGAGACCCGGGTTTGGTTCCCACTAGGGGCGTGTGCCTCGGTTGCGGTTTGTCCCAGGGCCTGGTTGCGTCATGTGGGTGGCAACCACTCGATGTGTCCCTTTCCCGTCGACGTTTCTCTCTCTCTCTCTCTTCCTCCCACTCTATCTGAACAAAAAATGGAAAAATGTCCTTGTGTGAGGATTAAAAAAAAAAGAAAAAACAAAATAAAATAAAATATTCCATAGGTAATTCAGTTGAGAATTTAAAGTTTAAGTAACACTCCCTTCTCTACACTTTAGCTAACTCATTTTGCTTAAAAGAATAATACTGTATGGCCAGATTGGGGGAGGGGAGAAGGTTTTCTTCCCTGGGTCTTTAAGAGATTTAAGTCCTAAATTAAACTCAGGCCCTTCATTTACAATTTGACTAGAAAAAAATAAGTGCCACCTTTACAACTGTTCTTCACACCAACCCAGGCATGTCCCTGTGCATTAATCATATTTAAATATTTTTTCTGTATCTTATGTTTTGTTATTTTAAAAATCTTGTTGGTGGGGAGACTGCCCCTTCCAGGGCTAGCTAATTCCTCAAGACATTAATCAACTTACTTGGCAGCAGCCTCTTATGTGCAAGGCAATCAACTCCTTTAACTCTCACAGACAAAACCAACATTGCCCCTGCCCTAAATCATCCCAGGGCTAGGTACCAAGCAACTAGAGGCCATTGCTACTGCCCAAAGCCTACCAAAATTATTCAAACTAGCCAGTCATTAAAGGCTTACCCTGTCCTGCCTTGCCTTTCTCATGGTACAAAGGTTCTGACCTAAGCTTTCCCTTCACTCCTGCTTCTGCCTCCAGGCCAAAATCTTCCTGCAGTGAGGCAATGCCTCTTCTCTCCAGAAATCTAATACATTTCTTCTTTCAACGGCGTTGGCCTCTCCATATTGTCACCCAATCACCTCTATAAATTAAAATCCCACCAGTACAAATGAGACACACCACCTCACCCATTCCTCTGTGCTGTCTACCACTCTTGTGCTGTCTGCTTAACTGATCCAATTGGAAATCATACTACAGACTAACATAGATTTCTAAAACCAAGTAACTCCTAAATTCCTTCATACAGAAAAGCTCTTGGAATTTCTATTAGCATTTGACACTCAGCACTCAGAACCAAAATGTAGTATGACCCAGCAGTTACTCTCCTAGATATATTTACAGCAGCATTATTTATAATAGCCAAAAAGCAGAAACAGCCCAAATGTCCATCAACTGGTAATAAACAAAATTTGATATATCCATACAAGGGAATATTATCCAGCCATTAAAAGAAATGAATCGATTCATGCTACAACATAAACCTTAAAAACAGTATGTTAAGTAAAAGCCAGAGAAAAGGCCACATGTTGTATGAATCCATTTGTATAAAATGTACAGAACAGGCAAATCCATAGAAACAGAAAGTACACAAGTGATTGCCAGGGGATGGAGAAAGGGGGAATGAGGAATGACTGCTAATGGTACAAAGATTTCTATTTGGGATTATAAAATGCTCTGGAATTAGACAGTGATGACAGTTGCAAAACCTCATGAATGTTCTAAAAACACTTTAAAGGGGTGAATTTAATATGTGATATATATATACACACACACATTTTAAACTTCTGTGTGTTATTCTCTTCCCTCCAAACCTACTCTTCCCTGTAGTCCATTATTTCAGTGCTCGAGCCAGAAACCTACAAATTGTTACAAAGAATCAGCTCATGACAATTCAAACGCCTCCATTCTCTCCACTCCAAATGCGAATTCAGGCAACCCTCATTTCTCATCTAGATTAGCAGCTTTCTAATGGGCCTCCAGTCTTGCCATTCCAAATCCATCTTTATGCTGCAACTAGAACGTCCGTTCAAAACAAAATCTTCAATGGCTTCCAATAACCCCAGGTTAAAGTTCAAACCCTTAATGTGATTTATAAACTCCCTCAAATTTCGGCCCGTGACAAACCGCTCCTGCCTGGCTGGGTGTGTCACCTCAGCCTCAGTTCGCACGGCGTGTCTCTCCAGCTAACGCCTCGCGACCTCCAGGCCTCCACCTGTTCGCTACCATCTCTGGGGAGGAAGCTCTCCCGCCCCATTAGGCCGCATTTAGCACGTCTCCAAATTCCCCGTCCTCCGTTTAATCGTTGGCTCCTCTGGCAGGTGCGCTCCGAGGGCCGCCATTCAATGGGCAAATAGTTCCTGTGTGAACAGTGGTAGGCCCAAACTTCAATTTAAAACTGCGGCGGTGTTCTAAACTCACCCCGACTTTTCCTCAACATTTAATAGACCTTGCCGGGTACCAATGTACCGGCAGCTACTGCCACCGTCCAGCCCTGCGGCGACAGGGCCCTGGGACACCACGCCCCACCGTGCGCCGCCGCGCCCTGCCTCACTACGCCTCACGCCCTCCGGAACCGCTCTTTGCTGCGCGCTCAGGCCGCAGAGGAAGATGGGAAGCAAGCCTCCCGGACCGCTCTGCGCCTGCGCATACGCAATTCTCCGCGGGGGAGGCGGGTGGCGCATGTGCAGGCTCCAGGCTTTACGTTGAGAGGTTGCCGCCGCGGCGCCGGAGGTAGGAGGGGCTGGGCTTTGGGGTTACGAGTCTGCACCGGGAGAAGGAGGTCCAGCTATCTCGGGCCTTTTTCGCTCTTCGGAGGGAGAAGACCCTTTCTCGCCCTCTTCCAGCCGCGGTGTAGAGGCAGGAGCCGCGCTTGGGTGGAGGAGGCCGGGCCTGCCAGAAGGGAGGAGGGGGGGGGATCTGGATACCCACGGAGTCACTGCCCGGGGGTCAGCCTGGCGATCATAATTTGCCGTCAGGGTCCGTGGCAGCACTTACCCAGGTTGAGTCCCCATTGCGTTTCCAGTGTGTTACCGGGTTGAAGGGAACGGGGTGGGGTAGGGGGTTCCGCCCCTCACCTGTCCATTCATTCCGTCCGCATCTGCTGTGAGTCCAGGCGCCGGCGCCGTGGTATGTACAACGCTGAGTAAGCAGCACAAGTTGCCGGCCCTCTGGAAACTTGTGGTCTAGGAACCGCTACTTCCTTCAGCATATACTGATTGAGTATATAGGAGATGGACAGTTTTAATAACAGACATGTGTACACAGAGCAGTGTGGAGGGTGGCATTTACTTTAGCTCTCCACATCTAACAGGATAAAATTCAATTTGGTTAGCCTGACGTTCCAAGCGCTAGGACACTGATCTCTGCTTCTCACTGAAGCCTTCTGTCCCACCCCACTATCTCTTCGCTCCAATTGTACCAAACTCTCTGCATTTAATTAATTCAACAAATAATTGTCGATCACTTTTTCCAAGTCAGGTGCCTATCAGCCAAAGAGAATACGAAGTGAAGTAGATGAATCTGTGCCCTCCTCAAGTTTTGAGCTTAGTGAGATGAAGATAATAATGAATAAAAATATAAGAGCTGATGCCTTGGACCCACTGCTTGGATTTGATCCCAGTCCTGCCACTTCAAAAGCTGTGTAAACTTGAGCCAGTTCGTCATTATTGTGCTTTGATTCCTTGCTGTAAAGAAGGGATGACAGCAGATTCTACCGAATAGGACTGTTGTAAGGATTAAATGAATTAGACTTGTAAAGCAATTGTACTGTTGCTTGGCATACAGTAAGCATTCAATAAATGTTATCTATTGCATGTGATTATAATTTGTGATAAATGCTATTGTGAAAATTGTGACAAAAGAAAATAATAGGAGTGGAGAGGGTATACTTAGATAAAGGATGAGGGGAAGCTTCTCTGAGGAGGTGTCATGGAAGATGTGAATGAACCAGCTATGCTAAATAGATTCTAGGTCTGTGTGTCTGCCCACCCCTGGAAAACTAGATGATTAGTCTTATTACTTGTACAATGGAGATTGATTGTATTATTGAATTTGAAATTAACTTTCTGCCACTGAGTCATTCAGTTTTGATTTTCGAACCCTACTAAACTGTGCTGATGTAAATAATCATGCCCATAAGGCCCAACCTGTGCATGCGGGCTGTATTCCAGTCATCTGAGTTGGGAGAGCTTTGCTAGGGTGAAAGGATGGAGAAAGTGGCCTTTTTTTTTTTTAACTTGAAAATTGGTTTTATCAATGAAGGATGAGTCTCCTGTGTTCCTGTCTCCTGAGTTTTCAAGAGCACATGTGCGCGCTCTCGTGTGCGCACGCGCGCTCTCTCTCTCTCTCTCTCTCTCCCTCTCCCTCTCCATCTCTCCATTGCCTGCTGATAGAGTCTCTGATAGCTGGAGGCCTTGGACCAGCATCAAACTAAGAGAATTTTTCTGGATTTGGGAATCATCATGTTTTGTGGTGACTGCCCTTCATGAAATTCCCTAGATTTCAACAAAAACAATACTCTTCTAAGATGCCCAAGTTTTTCTGTCTGTGAAAGAATAAGCTTTGGTAAATTTCTAGACACACACCCCTCCACCCTGGTTGTGCTGTGATGTCCTATAGGATGATGGTTCTTTGTTAAATAGGCTGTACCTGAGTATTGACAGGGGCATTGTTACTCCTGTACTCCACATGCTCTTATACTTTCTTGGAAGAAATGGCATAAAATTACATTATCTGTCTAATTACACTTAAATGCTTTTGGTTTTCCACAGATGTGATATTAAGTGAACCAAATGTGTTTTATCACCATGGAGATCTTGAAGAATCACCTGAGCACCAAGTTCATATGCATTCTATCTTAGGGGCATCTATTGGACAACAAAACCTCTCACATGTGGGCTCTAACAGAGGGAAGCTTTAAATATGCCATTTAACACAGGCTCAATTTGAAGAAAGACTTTTAAAATCATGGAGAGAAAAATAGTACTTTTTGCTCAATTGTGCAAACTCTTCAAGTATCTCTGAGAATTAGAGAGGAACCCTAATGAAGCCGTGATTCTGAATGAGGCCCAGCTAGGTTCATTCTTGGGCCCTCAGATTGACCCTCACATCTCTGAAAACAAGCTCGAAAGCCTTAAAACTGGTCAGATGATGGATGAGTCAGATGATGACTTTAAGGAACTCTGTGCCAGTTTTTTCCAAAGGGTGAAAAAGAATGGCACCAAGGAAGTGTCAGGGGAAAGGAAGACAAAAAAGGTCTCAAATATCACTCAGATAACAAGCAAACTGGAAAGGACCAAACCAACTGCTACCAAGAGCAAAACTTGTCAAGGCCCCAGGGAGAGAAAAACTCGATCTGGTAGCAAGGCCACAAGGACGAAAAAGCAAGGGGTACCCAAGTGGCAGAAGAGTGAACCAGCTCTCTCTGAGAATGGGGAGGGAAGTGTGCTTGCTTCTGCTGTGCTCATGGAGGATGCATGGCGCACCCAGACAGGTAACCTAGCCAGAAACATTGCCAGAACTTCCAGAGAGGAAACCAGAGGCGATTTGTACTATTTTAAACCAGGAGTCGGAAATTTTTCTGTAAAGAGCCACGTAGTAAATTTTTGGGGGCTTTGCAGGTCATACAGTCTCTGTTACAACTCTTCAACTCCTTAGACAATATGTAAGTGAATGAGCTATGTTCCAACAAAACTTTTTACTAAAACAGCCAGCCAGCCTGAGAACCATAGTTTGCCGACTCCTGTTTTAAATAATAGTCATAAAAAATATAACCCCTTTGTGAATTTTCCACATGATTATGTTTGGGGCCCTCTTTCAGTTTCCTATTAATGTTTACATTTAATAGTTGACATGAGTTACATGAACATGAAAATAATGCTGCTTCTCCCATTTTCTTGAATTCATTTCATAGTGGGTACCATATGGGTTTAAGTTCCAGGAGGATCTTCAAGTCCTTCCTTTCTCCTCCAAATAACTGCCCCCCCCTTTTTTGGGGGGGGGGTTGTTTGTTTAAAGCAGCTATCTTACTCTGCTGTCCTTGATGTACTAAACCATATTCTTAGCATATATTCTTCATGCAGAGCTGAAAACCAGCCTTGCATATATAATACAGCACAAGATCTTTGGGCACCTGAATAGTGTTTCTAAATTTTTTTCACCTTCACTTCCTGATCTTAATGTGTTTTTACCCACTGTGGTCAGCATAACCTCTCAGTGGAGTGGTGGTAAAGATTTAGCTCAAAGAGACTCTTGTAAGGCTTCAGTAATGTTGTTGAAATGTTGTTGGCACTTCATGCTCCCTTTGAGAGTCTAGTGAAAAGTATACATGATTTCCCCCAGAAAACTGCACCACCCCATACCTGCAAAATTGACATATAACTTCAGGGGCTTCATGAATTCCCACTGGAGGCCTCTGCAAATACCAAGTTAAAGAACAACTTCTGACCTAGAAAGGTATAAATGTTTGTCATTAATGTTTCTTTAATAATAGCTTTATAGAGATACTCATATTCTGTAAAATTCACTCTTTTAAAGTGTACAGTTCAATGGTTTTAGTATATTATAGAGTTTTGCAACCATCACTACCTAATTTTAGAACATTTTCATCACCCCAAAATAAACCCTGTGCTCATTAACAGTCATTCTCCATTCCCTCTCCTGTCATAGATCTTTATGACAGGTACATTTATATTACCACAATGAGGTTACCAAAAAACAATCAGTCCTAGTGACACTTGTTAGACCTAAACTAGTTGGTAAAGGACCCCTTTGAAACTTCGGTCTAACTTGTATTTGGAGGAAGTTTTTTTTCTCCAGCTGGAACAGACATGTGAATATTTTTCTCCTCAGAGGCTGCTCCTAATGGCGACTCCCAGGGCCCTTCCTCTCTGACTTTGAAGGCGCCAAGTCCCTCCAAACCCCGGGCAGCCGAGGTGGTCCTACAGCGAATGCAGCAGTTCAAGAGAGCAGACCCCAAGCGTTTGAATCATGCTTCAGAAGGGTGCTCCCTCCAGGATACACTTGAAGAAAATGTTCCAAAGGGCCCTCAAGAGGCGATGATGGCGGGTAATGGTATGACAGGAGTTTTCTATCTTCCCAGTAGGAATAAGTTCTAACTCTGGAGGAAGGGGAGCAGGAAGGAACCAACCTTCATTGTGCTTCTGCTGAGGGTGGGCTCTGCCTGGTATTCTACCTTTGCCACTTCATATGGTCTAGCCAGAGAATGAAGGGTTCCTTGGGTCAATTCTCACTTAGTTTCTTTGACAAGATCTCTTCCTCTTGTTTTAATTTTGAATTTTTATTTTGAATTTTTTTCCCATACAGAAAAGTAAAAAAATATATTACAACAAACCCTTTATACCCTTAGCCTAAATTTAACATTTGTTAACATTTTGTCGTATATTTTTTGTCTCTATAAATATACATGCTTCTGTTCTATATGAAAGTAAGTTAAAGACATCATGATGCTTTACCCCTCGATTCTCCTTCATAATCATAATACCGTTGTCACACCTAATTCCATAATATTGCCTGGTATCCAGTTCACATTCAGATTTCCCAAGTTGTCCCAAGGATAGCTTTTGTAGCTGGTTTCCGAGGATTTGTCAGAACTAGAAGCGCACACTACATATGGCTGTAGCCAGTAGTCCCTTAAGGTCTGAACAGTCCCTTTGTCTTGTTTGTTTTCTTTATTGCTTTTTATTTAATGATACATTTTTAAAAGTCCAGGATAATTGTCTTTTAAAATTTATCACTTTCTTGATTGTTTCTTCGTGATGTCATTTAACCCCTTCCTGCAGTCCCTGTGTTACATTACACTCAGTAAGCTTGAGGTATTAGCTCCAGGTTAAATAGTTTGGCAACAGTGCTGTGCAGGTGCTGTGCAATGCATATTACACCACCCCAAGAAGCACATAATGTTCAGTGGTTCCATTCTTTTTTTTTTTTTTCTTTCTTGATTTGACAGAGAGAGAGATAGAAACATCGATGAGAGAGAACATCAATTAGCCGCCTCCTGCATGCCCCCCACTGGGGATTGGGCCCACAGCCTGGGCATTCTGATCAAGAATCGAACCAGCGACCTCTTGGTGCATGGGTCGATGCTCAACCGAGCCACACTGGCCGGGCAGTGGTTCGATTCTTTATCACCTAAACAACATGAATCCTCATCTCTGATGAAAATATGCAAAAGGAAAGGAAATAGAAAGAAACTGTATTGACATACCTACTGCTAATGAGCATGTAGTCTCTTGGTATTGCATTTGTAGATTTCACCTTAGGAGCACTGAGGATTCTCAGGCTATCCCAAAGGTCCACACAGATAGCAAGGTGACATCTGCCATGGCATCAGTCCTCGAGCACCTATAGGGTGCAGAAGAGTTGCCCAGCCAGTGTGTGAGCCTAGTACCTCCCCTACATGTGACTCAGCTGCTTCCATATATCTTCACATCATACCCAATAATGCTCAGGAGAGAGAAACCACTGCTTTGCTTTTAAAAAAGGCACCAAAATAAACCATAATGCATTTCTGGCTTTGGTGAAAGGAGTGATAAGCCATTAGTAGTATTCAACAATTGTAGGTTTATGAAGTTTTCAGGGCATATCCCTCATGAACACCAAAGGTCTGCTTTGGCAATATCACATGTGACAGAGGACTGCAGAGGTGGGCACAGCTACCTTGGGAGCCATCTCTAGGCATTTCATTCAGACCTGGTTCTTCCAGGATGTGCAAGAAAGGTTATAGCAATAGGAAAGGTTGAAATTTGAAGAGAAAACTTAGATTTGTTGGAATAGGAGCCTTATAAAGCTGGCATGTTCAAAGCAGCTAATTTTAGCAGAAAAGGGAAAAATGAAAGGAAAGTTCTCCAGGACCTGATACTGAAAGAGTGGTCATAGACCACCTATATCAGTCTTGCCTGGAAGTTGTTAAAAATGCAAGACCTCAGGCTTCACCTAGACCTTTCATACTGTGAACCTTCAATTTAGCAAGGTCCCCAGGTGATTTTTATACACTTTAAAGTTTGAAAAGTACTGTTTTCGGAGCCCCATTTGTGCCGTTTCACTGGATGGTGCCTGGCATGAGGCAGAGTAGTGCAGGGTCTAGTTTCTACACCCAGTGTCCATGCTCTGCGAGATCTGACAGATGTGCAGAGGTCTGAGGATGAGCTCATCATCATGGATCTTTGTGCCTCTCCACAGAGCCTGGGCCCTGGCTCCCTGCCACAGAAAGCGACACTGCAGTGGCCTTGGCGCTGCAGCAGGAGTTTGGGCAGGAACAAGCTTCGGCACGTGACAATAGCCTGGAGGAGAAGGGGTTATTCTTCTGCCAGATCTGTCAAAAGAACCTCTCAGCTATGAATGTGACACGAAGGGAGCAGCATGTGAACCGGTAGGAGCAGCTCAGCTATCACCTTTCCTGTGTGTGTGACCAGTCAGGAGTCCCTGTGGCTGTAGTGGGAATCAGATGGTTTACTGTGACAATAGCCCCTCAGTGTTGGTGTCAACCTGCTCTTGCTTTTTATTTTTTAACAGCTTTATTGAGATAATTCACATACCATACAATTCACCCATTTAGAGTGAATAATTCAATGGCTTTTATTTAGTAATATTAACAGAGTTATGTAATCATCACCAAATCAATTTTAGAATATTTTCATCACCCCAAAAAGAAAACCTGTACCCGTTAGCACTTGCTCCCCATTCCTCCTCCCCCCAACCCCTGGCAACCACTAATCTGCTCTCTGTCTCTGTCAATTTGCCTATCCTGGACATAAGTGGAATCAAACACTTTGTGGCCTTCTGTGTCTGCCTTTCTTCACTCAGCATAGTGTTTTCAAGGTTCACCCATGTTAGAGCATGTATCAGCGCTTTATTCTTTTTTTTTTTTATAGCTGAATAACATTCCATTGTATGGATACACTACATCTTGTTTATCTACTCATTCATTGATGGACATTTGGGTTGTTTCCACCATTTGAGTATTGTGAATAGAGCTGCTATGAACATGCATTTCATGTGTTTGTTTAAGTATCTGTTTTCAGTTCTTTTGGGTATATGCTTAGGAGAGGAATTGCTGGATCGTATGGTGACTCTATGTTTATGTTTTATCTGTCCTTTCTTCGGTCACCTTTGTGAACAGATGCCTAAATTCTGTGTCTGGAAGCTGACTACAGACTGTGTGGAGGCACTGACTTTGGGGGAACAAGGTTTGGCCCACAGCATGTCCATGTGGATGTGGATCCATGTTTGCTTCGATCCACGTTACCAGGGGATGTTGTTCTCCTGTGTTTACTGTCTTCCTTCAGGTGCTTGGATGAGGCTGAAAAGGCACTGAGACCTTCCACACCTCAGATCCCTGAATGCCCAATTTGTGGCAAGCCATTTCTCACCCCAAAGAGCAGAATCAGTCACTTGAAACAGTGTGCAGTGAAGATGGAGGTTGGCCCCCAGCTCCTGCTCCAGGCTGTGCGGATGCAGACAACTCTGCCTGAGGGGACCTGCAGCACACTGGCACAGGCATCAAGGTGAGTCAAATGAAAAGGAAGAAAATCAAAGAAGTACTCTGATTTGTTTTAAAAATAAAATAAGGCCTTATACCAGTGGTTCTCAACCTTCCTAATGCCACAACCCTTTAATACAGTTCCTCATGTGGTGACCCCCAACCATAAAATTATTTTCGTTACTACTTCATAACTGTAATATTGCTATTGTTATGAATCGCCATCGTGTTTTCTAATGGTCTTAGGTGACCCCTGTGAAAGGGTTGTTCGACCCCCAAAGGGGTTATGACCCACAGGTTGAGAACCGCTGCCTTATATAGTGTTATAGGACAATAGAGCTGTCTTTGATTCTGGAAAGGAAACATAAGAGGAAGAAATCAGTCACGGTCTCCACGGGAATTGAGTAGGGGACAAATTCTGCATCCCGATGGCTTTTAAATGGTCTGTGTGGGTGTGAGTGTGGAATGTTCTGTGGAAATGACTGGTTGGACTGGTTTCCTTGAGGTCCTTTCTCCCGAGTTTTCCATTTCCAGGACCCTGCCATCAGTGCCCTCTGGAGCAGCTAAGAATTCGGTAATTCACATCTATTTCATGTGTGGTACAACCTTGCTTCTATCTCAATGTAGCCTGATTTTCATACTATTAATATAAGATTATTATATTATAAGATTACTCAGCATAGTTTAAAGAGTTAGTGAGAGAACCATAGGCCTTTTAAAAGTAATTGCATGGCCCTGGCCGGTTTGGCTCAGCGGTTAGAGTGTCGGCCTGCGGTCCTGAGAGACCCGGGTTCGGTTCCCGCTAAGGGCGCGTACCTCGGTTGCAGTTTGTCCCCGGCCCTGGTCGGTTGTGCGGGTGGCAGCCACTCGATGTGTTCCTTTCACATCAATGTTTCTCTCTCTCTCTCTGTTCCTCCCCCCCCCCCCCCACTCTACCTGAACAAAAAATGGAAAAATGTCCTCGGGTGAGGATAAAAAAAAAAAAAAAAGTAATTGCATGAATTAAATGCTTATGTGTTAAAATAGGAGTCCCTGCTGATGACACAAGTCTTCAGCGTGCAAACCACAGGCACACAAGTGGTGGATAGTCACCTTTGTGCTGCATTGCCTCTGCGGCGATGGATGCCAGAGTAGACCCTAATGTTATAGGGGACACAGTCAGCGTCGGCCCTGGACTGCTGTAGATTTAGGACTTCTTTCCTTGGACAGCTGTCAAGAGCAAAGGGAATGGCAAGGGCGGTTTGTTTGTCCTGGTCACCGCCTTGCACACAGGTTCTGGCCATGTGAGCTGGGTCAGTGCAGAGATAGGGAGGGCAGAGGCTGAGTGTTCGCTGATGAGTCTGTCTGCATTTGAGCACATCAGCACTAGCATCGTAGACTCAAAAGGCTCAAGACTGAGAATAGACACAACCTAAGCCATTGCTTGCCTTTTGTCAGGTCCACACTGAAACTACCTACTCAGATAAAATATATCTGCTTTTAAAATACCTCTGAGAAGCAACACAAGATGTGTAAGGGTCCTTCTAGAAGGTTGTTGGAGTAGAAAGCCACAAATGGACCCCCCTCACTGAGACTGTGAGCCTCCCCTGCCCTAAGACCAAGCCTGGGATGTTTGGAACTCTAGGGTAATCAGCATTCCCTGGCCCAGGGAACATATGCTGGTCAGAGAACTCCTCACCTGTTTTCATCCAGGCCCAGGCCATACCTGTTGGGTCCAGAGGTACAGCCTACATGGTGGCAGAGTCCTGGGATGTTAGAGTGACTCCTTTCCCTCTTGGAGGCTGTGGTTATTGTGCAGGGTTCCCAGGGAATTAGGACTGAATTAGGGCTCCTTTAGATCTTCTGAGATGATACCTGAGATTCTGTGGCGAGCACGAGTTTTTGTGAAAGCCAGAGGTGCTTCCAGAATGCTCTACAGCTGCAGGGAAGGTGACCTTGGGGTTGCCCTTAGTTTCTTTCTCACCTTTCCCTTTCTACTTCTTGCCCAGCCTGTTGAGAGGCAGCGGGCAGTCTAGATTCTCTCCAGCCAGAAAGTCTTTCAGTAAATCTCCTCTGAGCCAAATGAGTTACTGCACATTGGCCTCTGAGCCTGCTAACCACGTTGGTGGCCCAAACTGAGAGGCCTTTCCTTTAGACTTTGGGCAGAGGCACTGCCCTGCAGCCCCTGTGGGAGGGAAGGGATCCTTTCATGGCCTATGTATCCAGGACCCCCTAAGGGGCATCCGAAGTATCGATGGGCAGAGGTTAGTAGAATCCAGGATGCTGACTTGGAGCCAGCAAGTGCTGACTGCACCGGAAGGGTATGGCCACATCTAGGGTATGCAGGTACCGCTGCTGGCATATGTGTACCAAGAACCTGGTTAGGATCACACAGAAGGACCCAGATGTTCCTATCTGGACTGCACTGAACTTTTGGCCTAGGATTGTGTGAGCTTATGTGAGGCACAGAATGAGCACAATGAACTCCCAGAGCACTTGATGCTTCTGCCTGATGGGTCCACATTTTTCCTTTTTCTCTTCCCACTACAGAGGAGGTCCACCCCTCTTTGGTCCAGTGGGGACCACCTCAGAACAGGAAGTGCTCACAACCTCTGGCTATCACTAACCTTTCTGTTTGGCTGTCTTTTAAGTTTCAGCAATCACTTTGGAGGTCTGAAGCGGAAGGGAGCCCCCAGCAAGAAGGAGCCACAGAAGAGGCAGAAGGTCAATGAGCCTGAGGTGCTGTCTGAGGACCTCCTAGTGGCCATGGCTCTATCCCGGTCCGAGATGGAACAGAAGGCTGTGCCTGCGATGCTCACACTGGGAACTGCTTTTTCTGAGAGGACAAGACTGTCAACAGGTATGTGTGACCATGAGTGGTGGCTCCAGGGTGAGCCTCGCTGTCTTGCCTCTGCCTGAAGGTTACCACTGGGCCTAAGGCTGTATGGATGACTCTTAACTTCTGTTGACTGTTACTTCTGTTTCTCTCTAGAGAAGAAGAGTCGCAAGAAGAAAGCACCCCTTTCCCCACCCCAGTTATTAGTCCAGGACTCAGAGACCACAGGGAGACAGATTGAGGATCGCGTGGCCCAGCTCTTTGCAGAGGAGGAAGTAGAATTGTCCAGCACGCCACCACTTCCTGCAAGTAGACTTTTAAAGGAAGAGCTGGAAAAGGCCAGCAGGAGTCTGCAACCACCTGAAGGGAAGCAGAACTTTCTGTGGGAGGGCAGTTCCTTGACCAGGGCCTGGACTCTGGAGTCTTTCTATACAGCAAGCCTGGTGCCTCCCATGGTGCCCCAGCGGTCCACCAAGGTGCGCCCTCCCCTCCAAACACATGTGGGTGGGCTCTGGAGAGGGATTGGCATTTCCAGGATTATGGCACTGGGAATCAACAGCTAGGGGGCAGAAAGTTATAGAAGGAGCGGGGAGAGGAAGAGAAGGAGCCTAGAGGTGTCAGCCATAGCGTGTTTGCAGCAACTAGATGGCTCTCCTGGTAAGGACCACTGGTTCCCAAATGTATTGTGTTCCTGGAGAGTTTGTTTAAAATGCAGAGTCCTAGGCCCCGCCCTCAGGGGGCTGACAAAATCTGCCTGTGATGGGGCCCAGGAACCAGACAAGTCTAATGCAGGTGGTCCTAGAGTCAGCACTCACTCGCTTGAGGCCATTTAGATTACTTTAGGAAGATGGGGGTCCCCAGGGATCTTTCTGTAGATGTGGATGCCACAGCCATGGCCTTTGTTGTGCCAGAGAGACCTGCTGACAGATGGTATTGAAGAAAAGCTGCCCAAGGTTGCATTGGGCTGTGGCTGGCACCTGCAGGGACCTTCTGAGTGATCAGTAGCCACCTGATCACTCTGGCTTCCAACTTCTTTCATGTTCTCACACAGGAGCCTCCGTTGCCACCAGTGTTGCTTGACCAGCCACAGCAGGGTGTGTGCTTGCCACCTGCCCTCCACAGTGCCTGTCCCAGGAATCAGTCACCCTCTGCCAGCCAAAGGGAGTACCAGGCCCTGCAGGACCTCATGGACCTGGCAAGAGAGGGGCTGTGTGCTAGTCCATTGCCCTGCAGTGAGGCCCCTGCTGACTCAGGGGGGACCGCAGGTGAGACACAGGATGGGACACCTGGGCCAACCCCGTCCTCTGGGCCCTCGTCTCCCTGAGACCAAGACCATGAAAGCAGCTGAGATTTGATGTTCCCTGGCTCGTCCCTCTACAATGAGGAGAAAGGGCAGTCTCTGTAGGTGCTTTCATTTTTTTCTCAAAGGTGGTGACACAGGTAAGTCTATCACCATATCCTTAAACTTTAACCAAGGACAGAGCTGTTTGTCCAATGCGAGTAATCGGTGAACTAATTCTATTTCACTGCTCGTGTCTCTCTCTGTTGGAAGGGGGTAGTAGTAAAAGTGGTTTGTGGGCATCACTTTCACTGAAGAAGTCCCAGATAATAACTTTCAAGGCGCCTCTTGGGTTGGCTCAATCCACAGTTGATTCTCTTTCCCTGGAGGCTGACATTGCCAGGAGGTGATGTTCTTTTAACCTGCAAATCCTTCTCTCAGGGATGGATCTATGGCCCGGTGGCCTTCCACTGACTGGGTTTGTCCTGCCACCTGAGGAGCAGAACTTGGAAGTGGGCAGTCAGGCTTCGGTAAGGACCTCTCCATGGGGCCTGGCCCTGCTCTGGCTCTGTAGTCTTGGCTGCTGGTGCTCGTTACATGTTCAATATGATCAGCTCAGTGCCAGCCTTCAGACCCTTGCACAAGTCCCCTGGTCCCCTTGACAGTATTTGAGCTGAGCTAGGCAAAAGACCACAGGAGCCTCCTGCCCCTGTGTTGGGGCTCTGCCATGAGGCTTTGTCCCTTTTGCCACTGAACTACCAGGAGCAGTTCATTTGCCAAGCCCTGGGAGCCTGCTCTGACTGGGAGCCCCGAGGGACCATCATTACTCTGTGAGATCACCTCATTCAGCCGACTGCTCTGTGCACTCCTTTCTCAATGTTTCATTCATTCATTCATTCATTCAGGACTCACCATGTCCCTCTGATGTGCTGGTCTTGGGCTGGCCTCCCCCTAACAGTTCATGTTCTGTGTTGGTGATGAATTGGGTGAGAAGTTAGTTTCCCTTAGAGTGGATGTCACACCATTAGTATATCAGTATCACACCAAGTTCTCTTGGTGACCATGGAGCTCCTCTCAGCCAGGACCCTGAACCGTGTGGACTGCGGTCCTCATGTGTTACACTAGGCTGGTAAATTTCTTTTTTTCCTCACCTGAGGACATTTTTGCACTTGTCTTCAGATAGAGCCGGAGGGGGAGAGAGAGAAAACATTGATGTGAGAGAGACACATCGAGTGGTTGCCACCCACATGACCCCAACCAGGGCCAGGAACAAACTGCAACCGAGGTCCATGCCCTTACTGGGAACTGAACCCCGGTCTCTCTGGTCCATGGGCTAATGCTCTAACTGCTGAGCCAAACCGGCCAGGGCTGGGCTGGTAAATTTCTTTACAGGGCCACACAGCAGTGTTTGTGAAGCACTAGGTCTGCACACAGTGCTCAGCAGCTGCCACTGCTGCAGCTCCGTCTTGATTAGAACAGCCACGCTCTCCACTTGCTGGTTCCTCCCATTTTAGGCCAGGGAACTCAGTGTAATAGAGAATTTGAGGAAGAAATTAGTGTTTTGCTGTTCCACGTCACTGAGTGACTTAAGGTACTTTAAAGGTGGAACCCTATTGAGAGGAGTGCAAGGGTCCCGCCTGGCCACCCTACATCATCTCAGTTGGGGACCTTGCACAATTAGAGAGGCATGTGACAGCTCTCCTCCTGTTTCAGCTCTCCCTCGGTTTGCTGGTTGCTGACTTTAGTGCCATGGTAAATAACCCACACCTGAGTGATGTCCAGTTTCAGATGGACAGCGGGGAAGTGCTATATGCCCACAAGTTTGTGCTTTATGCCAGATGCCCACTTCTCATTCAGTATGTAAGTACGGGGTGAACAAGCTATTTCTCTGTGCAGCCCCCTCCATCCTGCTCAAACTTCTGTCTTTCTCTCCCTCCCTCTCCCTCTGCCTCTCCTCGCTCTCTGCCTCTCTGCTCCTTGTCCCTGTTTGCTCTGGCTCTCTCCATCTTCCTATCCCCCTACCTCCCCGCTGCTGAGCCACTTCCCTTCAGCTCCCTCCATGCTCTCCCCACCTCCCTGCTCTCCCCATACTATCCTAAACATTCTTTCCCTTTTTGTTGCCATAAGGTTACAGTTCTGTGGAGAAGACGTTTGAGGTTGGGAAGTGGTATGGGGAAATTACCTCAGGATTGGCAAAAATCAGATTTCTTGTCCCATTTAATAAAAATCCTTTCTCGCCCTGGCTGGTTTGGCTCAGCAGTTAGAGCATTGGCCCGTGGACCAGAGAGTCCTGGGTTTGGTTCCCACTATGGGCACATGCCTTGGTTGCAGTTTGTCCCCAGCCCTGGTTGGGGTTGTGTGGGCGGCAACCACTTGATGTCTCTCTCTCATGTTGATGTTTTCCTTTTCCTCTTCTTCCCTCTCTCCCTCCCGCTCTATCTGAAGATGAATGCAAAAATGTCCTCGGGTGAGGATTAAAAAAAAAATCCTTTCCCCTTCACCCAGAATTGTTTCTTTAGTCTCTATTTGCATAATTGTGAAGACTTATACTTGACCTCTTTAAAGATGAGCTGCTGACACATTTCTATGTTGACGTATTTGACTTGAATATTGTGTTGTTGGAATCCAAGAAACCGCTGTCAGTCACTCAGAAAGTTCTAGTGCCTTTGATATGTCTGTCAAGAGGGAACCAACTGGATTCTTGAGCATCTATCCCTGATTTGATTTTGAAAACAGAGAATTTTTTTTGTTTTTCTTTCTTTTTTTAATGATCTACTACCTTTCTTTTTTTTCTTTTAATGTTTTTATTGATTTTTTAGAGAGAGAGGAAGGGAAAAATAGAAACATCAATGTGAGAGAAAAACATCCATCAGCTGCCTCCTGCACAATTCCACTGGGAATCAAGCACCAGGCATGTGCCCTGACCGGGAATTGAACTGGAACCTCTCAGTCCAAGGAAGGACACTCAATCCACTGAGCCATACCAGCCGGGTGAAAACAGAAGTTTTATGGCTTAAACTGCAGAATTTCTGGTTAACAAAATGGAGCGACACTGGCTAACGTTTGTCCCCAGGCTGAGGCTGTAAAATTAGAGACTCACAGGATCCCCACAGACCATCTGCTTCGTCCCAAGTCATGACCGTCCAGTCAGTAAACCTTTATACTTTATTTCACCATCAGGTAAACAGAGAAGGATTCTTTGCTGTAGAAGATGGCGACCTAAGAACCCAGCGCGTCCTTCTGAGTGACGTGAGCACTGAGGCTACCCATGCATTCCTGCATTATCTCTATACTGCGGACACTAGCCTGCCTCCCCAGCTGGCCCCTGACCTGAGTTCTCTGGCCTGCAGGTCCGCATTGTTCTTTCCGTTTGCTTCATGGCTTTTGACATTAACTGACTAGGATTAGCAGGTTGATGGCTCATGGGAGGATCAGAGCTGAGTCCTTTCTATACTTTTTTATCCCAAGTTTATGCCTATTGGTGACCTTGAACAAGGTATATTGATTGGAAGTCTGGCCAGAAATGGTCTCTTGCAGGAGAGCCAAGGCTGCCTGAAGAGTCCTCTGCCTAGTCATGTGGCTTTTAGCTCCCTGGTGTGATGAGAGGGTGGTCCTCAGCCTTAGTTCTCCCCAAACACTGCCGTTCCTTGATTATTCTACCTCTAAGGTCGAACAACAGCAGTCCTTTTCCAAGTCCCAGAAAATAGAAACTGGATGGAAAGTTTAGTCCAGCTCTCATGAATTTGCATCTACCCAGTTTGTCCACACTGGTGTCTCAAGAGAGGTGGCAGGTAGCTCAGCAAAACAAGGTTTTCTACCTCCTGACAAGGTTGAGAGTGTCTGTGATAAAAAAATCTTGTTCGTCCAGGGCTATGTGATTCCCTCAGACGCATTCTTAGGAAAGGATTAGCTCAGCATCTAGGGTTTTAAATGTACTGATTAGACCACAGAACTTTCAAGCAGGTGGCAGGCTGATGCATATATTGGCCTGGGCTGACCCATGACAGGTTTAGTTTGCTTTGGTTTGCATCAGTCACAGTGCTCTGAGTGCCTTTCAAGGCAGCGCGTGCTCCCCAGTTTTGCAGCACCACCAATTGCTGTTATCTTCAGCTCAGCCTGATGTACTGCTTCATGTTTGTGTAGTAGAGTAGTGAGCTCTGCCTTGAAGTCTCATGAATCTCTGTTTCTAGAACTGAGTGGCCTGGGGTGTTGCACATGCCCCCTAGTCACAGAGCAGGGAGAAGGCCAGGACTTCACCTCTAATCCTTGCTTGTGCCGTGGCACCCAGCTGCAGCCTCTGTGCATGATGGTGATGATGCATGGCATTTCCTATTGCAGGTTTGGTGTTAGTGAACTTGTTCACCTGTGCAAACAAGCATCTGTTGTGATGGATGCGGAGGGCAGACAATGGAAGGAGAAGGAAGATGAGGATTGTGAAAGCAGAGCAGAGAATTTCCAAGAACTCTTGAGGTCAATGTGGGCAGGTGAAGAGGAGGAAGCAGAAGCCTTGTTGAAATCCGAGGGCCTTGAAGAAGACAGAGAAAAGGTCAATGAAGCAGAAATGGAAGAAATTTATGAATTTGCAGCTACTCAGCGAAAGCTACTCCAGGGGGAAGGAGCTCCAGAGATCAAGGAGGAAACTAACCAGCTTGGGGAGGATGGTCCAGGTTCTGGGCAAATCCTAGCAAGCATCCAGGTTAAAGAACAGTCAGAAAATGCAGAACAGATGGAGTCATCTGGGCAGGGAAGAGATGAAGCCCCAGCCAAAAGGAAAGATGTGAGTCAGTCCATGTTCCTGCCACTCGAGGGCCAGTGTTCAGATGGGAAGGAGGAAGCAGGGGCCCCAAAGGAAGCGCTGGATCATACCAGCTCCTCTAGCCCCTCTCCAGGCTGCTGGGCAAAGAAAAAGGAAGGACCTTTTTTGTACTCAGTTGATGATGATGACAATGAACAGCCCTTTCCATCAACTCCAGGAGGATACCCTGAACCATCCCAAATAACAAGTGGTCACGAGACAGGCAACGGCATTATCAGAGAAAGGGAAGGGCAGAGCTCCCATCCCTCCACTCCAAGGCAGGCACCTCCATCGCACCCATGTTTCTTCTCATCGCAGCCCCCTCTGGGCAGGAGTCCCCAACAATCACAGCCTCACCCTCATCTCACAAGTGACTCATCCCCACCAACGCCCCAATCGCAGGGCAGAGTTTCCAGGGTATCCTCCCAGGACCCACCATCAAAGCAGAAGAGGGGCCGGAGCCTTCTCACACTACTTAACCATTCAGACTGCCAGAAAGGTGAAGAACATGGTTCTGCGTTGGAATGCAGAAATAAAGGGATCCTGACCTCATCAGAAAAGTCTCCATCCATTGACCTAACTCAGGCAAAACCTGGCCATGGGAGCTCCAGATCTCAGAATTTTCCATCCAGCATGAACAGAGAAGATGAGATTATCCTTTTATTGGATTCAGATGAAGAGCTAGAGCTAGAACAAACAAAATTAAAGTCAGTTTTTAATGGTTCCCTGGAAGAAGGGAAAGTTCTAGAAGTTAGCCCCAAGTTGTCTGACCTGTTCTCCATAATTGATGTTGATGCAGATCAGGAAGCTTCGCAAAGCCCACCAAGGAGAGAGGCCACAGTGCAGCAGGAGGAGGGGCAGCCATCAAAGAACCATGGCAGTGTGAGTGGCAGAGGGACGCCCCAGCTGTTCTGTAACCCCGAGAGCAGCCCTGATGAGGACAGCACCACAGACACCTCGTGGCTGGTGCCTGCCACCCCACTTGGCAATAGAAGCCATGACTGCTCATCACAGACGCGAGTCATGGGCCTCAGGTCCAGGACTTCAGCATATGAAATGGCTCAGCTCAAGCCCAGGACCCCATTAGAAAGCAGGGATGGACCCAAAGCCTCTAGTAAGTTTTCAGTAATTGTGCCCCAGACATCATCATCCTGCCTGGTCCCTGTCAATCCTAGAAGCCCTTCCAGTCCCCATCCCAGGCGCCACAGGGACTTTTCTCTGCTGGCTCCCTGTCCACCCTCAGGAAGCATCACTGATTTCAGTGGGCAGTTCCAGAAGCGCTCACTGCCTAGGCCAAGCCTGCCGAATCAGACCACAGCGAGTGAAGTGGTTGAGGTGGAAGACAGTGAAGATGAACAGGAGGTAGCCCCCCATCAGTCGAGTAGCAGCCCCCTGCTGAACAGCGCCCCCCCCATTCCAACTGATGACTGCTGTTGGCATGTTGAGCCCCTCTCACCAATTCCGATTGATAATTTGAACCTTGAGCGGACTGGCCCCCTGAGCACCAGTAGCCCAGGCTGTAGGGCTGGGGAGGCCCCAAACAGTGGTGACTGCCACTCCCCTGCACCCCTGGGTATCACCCCTATTCGAGGAAGCTGCACTGGCCAAAGGAAGTCTCGAGAGAAATCCCCTCTGGCCAGCTCCCCTGGGAGCAGCAGGCTGAGCTTCTTGAATTCAGCTCTGTGGGACGATTGGAATGGAGAAGAACAGAAGTCTCCAGAGGATCTTTCTCTGGTCCAGACACCGAGTGCTGATCAAGCTCAAAAATCAGAAGGGTTAGAGAAGCCAAGTGAGTAGTGGAGAGAGTTGTTTATCTTTAACATTCTTTTACACTAAGGGCCCAGGAGGAAATCAGTAATGACAACATGGGTGGCAATACTGAAGGGCCTGCTGACCTGAGACAAGTCTCTTCCTTGCCTTCCACACCCCTGTCCACACTTGAGGGAGAATAGGCTTGCTATCAAACATACTTCTTAGCTACTAAGTCAGGGCTTTCTAAACGTGCCTGGACCCTACAGCTCACCTGGGCACTTGTGAAAAATCTCTGCCTGTGGACCCCAGTCCAGAATACTGAACCAGCACCTCTGAGAGTCCAAGGTGCTCGTGTCAGGTGTGCCTGGAAATTGGGCAAGTGCAGTTCCTCAAAACATTAAACATAGAATTGCCATTGTGATCCAGCAATTCCACTCCTACGAGTACATTCAGAAGAATTAAAATCAAGACTCAAACAGATCCATGTACACAAATGTTCACAGCAGCTGTATTCACATTAGCTAAAAGGTAGAAACAACCCAAAGTCCCTCAACTGATTGAGTAAGTATATAAAATATTGTCTACAAAAAATAAAATATTCATCCATAAAAAGGAATGAAGCACTGACACATGCCACAACACAGGTGAACCTTGAAAACATTGTTATGTAAAAGAAGCTAGTCACAAAAGACCACATATTGTATGATTCCATTTATATGAAATATCCAGAACAGTCAAATCCATAAAGAAAGAAAGCAGATTAGTGGTTGCCAAAAACAGAGGGGAGAATGGGTGACTGTTAGGTATGGAATTTTCTCTGGGGAGATTAAGACGTTTAGCAACTAGACAGAAGTGGTCATTGCACAATGCTGTGAACATACCAAATGCCTCTGAATTACTTAATTTTATTATGTGAATTTTATCTCAAAAACAACAGGTGGGGCTGTGAAAGAGGCCTGATATGGGGCCTCAGTGGAGAATGCCACTTCCCAGCTCTTTTCAGTCATAGAGGAGAATCAAAGCACCTAGTGTAGGCCTATCACGGTGCTGCCCCCTTTCCCAGCTGGGCACATCCAGGGAGAGTCAGGAAGGGCAGGGTGGCACTGAGCAGTGACTGGTAACAGGAAAGCAGAGCTTATGGACAGAGCATCTACCTGGAACCTGGTGTTTCATTTCCTCTTAAAATCCTAGACCAGCTGGGCATCATTGACCAGCACTTTCAGCCTTGAGTGGGCATCAGAATTGCCTGGAGAACTTAAAACACATGTGGCCAGGCCCCACCCCAGAGTTTCTGCTTCAAGAGATCTGGAGTGTGACCCAGAATTTGCATTTCTAACCAGTTCCCAGGTGATGCCATGAGAACCACTGCAGGAGATTTTAGACCAGGATCCTTAATCTGAATTGTGTGTGTGTGTGACTACTTTCCCAGGGACATTTTTCTATTGAATTTTAGAGAGAGGAAGAGAGGGAGGGAGGGAGGGAGAGAGACATTGATGTGAGAGAGAAAACATCGACCAGTTGCCTCTCACAGGATCCCGACCAGGGCCAGGGATTGAACCTGCAACCCAGGTACGTGCCCTTGACCTGAATTGAACCTGAGACCCTTCCATCAGAGGGCCAATGCTCTAACCGCTGAGCCAAAATGGCCAGGGCTAGTCTGAATTTGAGGTGGGCTTTAAGAGGTGACAAACTCTGAAGTTTATATATAAAGAATGTGCAGTTTTCAGTCTGTTTTCACTGGAGTCTCAAAGGCCCCATGCTTATAAAAAGGATAAAAGCCAAGTCCATCTTTTTCTAATTGTCCCATTTATCTTTAAAATACCCATTTCTTTTTTTAAATAACAGCTTTATTGAGACATTTCCACATACTCATTGTTCTGCAACCATCACCACTAATTTCAGAACATTTTTATCACCCCAGAAATAAATCCTGTACTTATTAGTAGTCACTGCCATTGCCCTGTCACTTCTGCCCCATTCACACAGCATCAGCATTGCCCAAGGCCACCGTGGCCCTCAGTGGGTGATGCTTTCTAATAGGAAGATGATGCTAGAGTCAGACAGTCAAGGGGTGGACATAACTGCTCTCCTGGAACAAACGGGACTGGGCTTCCTTCAAGTGCATTTTTCTCTTGGTTACACCAAACAGGGTCAGAAAAGGTAAACCCAGGTTCCTCTTACTGAAACATGTTTCTTTTGTTCTACCTGGAAGGTACTAATCGGAGGAAGAACTTGCCCCCAAAAGTGCCCATAACACCAATGCCACGGTATTCCATCATGGAGACCCCGGTACTAAAGAAGGAACTGGATAGGTTGGTGGTGTTCTTGAAAGCTTGCTTATTAGTGGTCCCCTCCCTCCTGTGAGTGACCAGGCTTAGTGAGGCTGGGAGGTAAAGGACCTGCCACCAGATCCACCCTGGGCTCTGGTGTGAGGTTGCTGTGGGGAGGGGACACGTGTGCCTGCCAGCTCTCCACATGCTGTTCCCCAAATTTCCCAGGCCCCAAGAAGCTAAGAAATGAGACTCCTCCAGGTTACCCATCAGGTGACAGGTCTCCATATGTCATGTGGGTGGAGATGGGACCCTGGCCTTAACACTGAGTAAGGAGATGTGATTTTGTAAAAGAACATCAAAATGACCATATCCTGAATGCTACTCTTCACATTGGGTCAGGGGATGTCATTGCCACCACCATTGCTCAGAACATGGGGAACAGCCCTTCTGGAATAGTCTTCAGAGTAAGCTCACCTGGCACACAGGGTAGACACTAACCTCTGAATGCTCATAAAAGTCAGACTTTTGAGATTTGAGTTACACAAAGCCATTAATTTGTTGATAATTGTTTGGTCTTTGCTGAAGTTCACCTGCTTCCCCATTCAGGTTTGGGGTACGCCCTCTGCCCAAACGCCAGATGGTCCTGAAACTGAAGGAGATATTCCAGTACACTCACCAGACGCTGGAGTCAGACTCCGAGGATGAGAACCAGTCCTCACAGGTGACCCTGAAGGCTCCTTGCAGCCAGACCCATTCCACCAAGACCTCCAAGGCTTCAAGGGCAGCTGGCTGTGTCAGGTTGGAGGCCACTTCTGACCCTGTTCCCCGAAGGTTCAAGGGACCTGCTAAGACCAAGGGTACCCGACATCGAAAGCAGCAGCCTGGTGGAAGCATCCCTCGCATGTCATCAGCCGAAGAGGTGCCTCTAGGCCCTGATGGTGATGCCCAGCTTCCGGCCTCCCAGGAATCGACGGCCACCTCTGTGGATGGCAGTGACAGCTCATTAAGCTCACAGAGGTAATCAGATTGAAGGACAGGGCCAGTTGTTTCACAGGTCCTCTGCCCAGTTGGTCTGAGAGTTGGCATAAGCGAAACCTAATGGCCAAGTTCAGAAGCCCCAGTTGCCTTCTGGATTTGAACCACAGGAAATCCAGGTGGGGCTCAAGGGCAGTCCCTGTGGACCTCCTGAACAATCCTTTGGAGCGCCCACATCCTCAACCCACAGGATGCTCCCTTGAGTGGGCCAGCCCAGTGTGCCTTCTTGGTGGGGGGCCTACCACTGTTGATGGAAGTTTCTGGTTAAGGACAAGATCCTACTCAGACCAGCAACTAGAGTGCCAGGGACACAGCACTGGGGAGTCATCCGTGCCATGTGCCAGGCTCCACAGGGCACATAGAAACACTCCTTTCTCAAATAGGCTCCTGGTCTTGGGGGGCTGGAGGGAAGGAGTACCACAAAATATTAATACCTGGTTCTTTTCAGTTCTTCCTGTGAGTTTGGAGCGGCCTTTGAGTCTGCAGGAGAAGATGAGGATGAGGAGGGGGTCAGTGCTTCGCAGGCGGCTGTGCAGGCAGTGGCCACAGAGGAGGCAGTGAGGCGCTACATCCGCTCCACACCGGCACTCTACCGCAAGGTCCTGCTGTACCAGCCCTTTGAGCTGGTGGAGCTGCAGGCTGAGCTGAAGCAGCAGGGCATCCGCATGGCCACAAGGAAGCTGCTGGATTTCCTGGATGCCCACTGTATCACCTTCACCACTGCCGCGGCCCGGAAGGAAAAGTTTGAGAGGAAGAGGCGGCAGCCCATGGGCAAGAAGAAAAGGGTCAGAACTGACCGGCCCGCCCCCCACTCTCCACCCATGGCCATCAGCAGCCTGTGATGTGACCTGTAGCCCCTTCAGCAAGCTAGGCCTCTACAAGCATTTCTGGGCCTTGGGACCATATCTGCTCCCCCTGTGAAAATGATGGTGGCACTGATGTGGATCAGCTTCCTTTCCACTCCCTTTCCTGGAGTGGTATTCAGAGCATGTCACCCACTGGATTTAGGGCTCCTGGCCTCCTCCCTCTATTGGTGCCCACTGTTTGTTTCCCTTTAACCCTGTTGGGCCAGTGTGTGTTTCTGAAGGGCAGAGGGCCTCCACCAGCTGGCAAGCGTGAGGCCTGACTTGACACATCTTTTGCTCTCTATATCCATCAGTTGCAGTATGTCCATTCTTGATGTGGATGCCCAGGTCCAGTCTGCCCTGTCCGTCTCCCTTTTCAGTACTTGTGCTGTAATCCTAGCCTCTACCAGCAGACCAGGCATCCACAGACCTTCCACACTGCCATGCCCCAGGTACTCTGCTGGCCCAACCATCCTGCCCAGACACCTTTCATTGTCACCAGCAGTCTCCAAACTGGCCAGTGCAGAAGAGCCCAGCATAGCTCTCCAGTCCCCGGAACAAGCATGCTCATTGTGACCTGGTTTGGTTGATGTGTGTTAAAGCTGCCTCCAGCCTCAGGAACAGTGTGGAACACAGGTAAGGCCTGGAAAAGAAGGAGAGTTTGAGTCTGCATCTTTGTGAATGTCTTGTCTGTTTTAAATACAGTGTAGTACATTTTATATGATATGCAATAAAAAGAAAAATGCTTTATGAAACACTTCTAAATTTTCGACTCTAAAAAAATACCAAGGGAAACTGGCTATGAGCTTCACCCACAGCTCCCTGCTGTCCTCAGAGTGTGTTTGCAGAAGGCCTTTGTGCCTGTTCTTTATCTCAAGGGGTAACCCAGGCCTGCTGGCCCCTCATTTCACTTCAGTTCTGAGATAATAGATGTTCGTTCCTCCACAGAAACACTTCTAAATTTTCGACTCTAAAAAAATACCAAGGGAAACTGGCTATGAGCTTCACCCACAGCTCCCTGCTGTCCTCAGAGTGTGTTTGCAGAAGGCCTTTGTGCCTGTTCTTTATCTCAAGGGGTAACCCAGGCCTGCTGGCCCCTCATTTCACTTCAGTTCTGAGATAATAGATGTTCGTTCCTCCACACGTTTGTCTGTTCATTTACCCACATTGAGTGAGCCCTTACTAGGTAATGAGCTCTAGCCCTTGATGCTCAAAGAAGGCCCAAGGCTCCACAGCCTTACCTGGACTTTGTTACAGATGCAGGCTCAGGCCGTCAGACCCACTGAATTAGAATCTGCATCTTTTTTTTTTGGTACATGCCTCTAGCGGGAACCGAACCTGGGACTTTCTGGTTTGCAGGCCGATGCTCCAACCGCTGAGCCAAATTGACTAGGGCAGAATCTGCATCTTAATAGGACGAGTTTGTGAGGCCTGCTCTGGCCTGGGTGCAGGATCCTGGGAGGGAGGGAAACAGGTGGAGAAGACAGACAGTGGCCTGTCCTGTGCCCAGCTTGAGGGTCAGTGCTCAGGTGGCCTGAAGGGACACCTTCCTGGAGAGGGGCTTTGTGAACACATTTCAGGGAGGTGTATGGGGTTCCTTGAACATGTGTCCTGGCGTGTGACCAGGTAGAGAGGACCTGGTCCTCCCTGTACATGCTGCCCAGGGGCAAATGATCAGAGGAACACCAGGGCTCAGATCATACAGCTAATGGCAGATGCTGCTTTGATCAGACTCAAGATGGAGTCTGGCCTGTTTCAGAAGATGCCACGTGTTTCTTAGAGAAAGGGCTTGGTCTCTAGTATGGACTGTTTTAGAGAAGTGAGATGGAGTCAGGAAGGTAGGAGGCAACGGAGTCTTTGCTCAGCTTCACTGCCCCATGGTGGAGACCATGGACCCAGATGCAGTGGAGACTGCAGACTCAGACGTGGTTGATACATGCAGCTTTGGATGTGGTCCCCTGAGAGAAGCCTAGAAGCCCTCACTCCTGGGAAGTGATTCCAGACTACAGAACATTACCAACTCCAGGTTGTTAAGGAGATGTTGGGGGAGAAGTTAAAAGAGGTAAAAAGCTTAAGGCCAGGAACAAAGGGAAGGCAAAGCCTTATGGCCCAATACGCTGGCTGGTCAGGTTTGCAATGGTGTGCCCTCCAGAAGCCATCAGGGAGTCAGCAGTGGGCCTGGCCAGGGCTCCAGTCCCAGGCTTGAACCCATGTGCAAAGCAGGAAATTGGGTTAAAAACCAGCCACTGCAGTCCCGCCAGTGTGGCTCAGTGGTTGAGCATCGACCCATGCACCAAGAGGTCGCCGGTTTAATTCCCTGTCAGGGCACATGTCCAGGTTGTGGGCCCGATCCCCAGTGGGGGGCATGCCGGAGGCGGCCAGTTGATGTTCTCTCTCATTGATGTTTCTCTCTCTCTCTCTCTCTGTCTCCTTTCCTCTCTAAAATCAATAAAGGAAAAAACACACAACACAAATGAAACCAAAAAAGACCTCGAATAGCCACAGCAATCTTGAAAAGGAAGAACAAAGTTGGAGGGATCACATTACCAGATTTCAGGTTATACTACAAAGCCACTGTAATCAAAACAGCCTGGTACTGGCACAAGAACAGGCATATAGACCAGTGGAACAGAACAGAGAACCCAGAAATGGACCCAAGGCAATACGCTCAATTAATATTTGACAAAGGTGACAAGAGCATACAGTGGAGTAAGGACAGCCTCTTTAATAAATGGTGCTGGGAAAATTGGACAGCTACATTCAGAAAAATGAAACTAGACCATCAACTTACACCCTACACAAGAATAAACTCAAAATGGATAAAAGACTTAAATGTGACTCATGAATCCATAAAAATCCTAGAAGAAACTGTAGGCAACAAAATTTCAGACATCATACGCAGCAGAATTTTCACTGACACATCACCTAAGGCAATAGAAACAAAGGAGAAAATGAACACATGGGACTACATCAAACTCAAAAGCTTCTGCACAGCGAAAGATACAATCATCAAAACAGAAAGGCTACCCACTGTATGGGAGATCATAATTGCCAATGATACATCAGATAAGGGGTTAATTTCCAATATATATATATAGAGTGCTCATACAACTCCACAAGAGGAAGACAAAGAACCCAATTAAAAAATGGGCAGAGGAACTAAATAGACACCTCTCCAAACAGGACATACAAATGGCTAAGAGACATATGAAGAAATGCTCATCATCACTAATCATCAGAGAGATGCAAATTAAAACAACAATGAGGTATCACCTCACACCTGTCAGAATGGTCGCCATCAACAAATCATCAAACAAGTGTTGGCGAGGGTGTGGAGAAAAGGGGACTCTAGTGCACTGCTGGTGGGAATGCAGACTGGTGCAGCCACTATGGAAAACAATATGGTGTTACCTCAAAAAATTAAAAATTGAACTTCCATTTGACCCAGTGCTCCCACTTCTAGGAATATACCCTAAGAAGCCTGAAACACCAATCAGAAAGAATATATGTACCCCCATGTTTGTAGCAGCACTATTTACAATAGCTAAGATCTGGAAACAGCCCAAGTGTCCATCAGTAGACGAATGGATAAAAAAGCAGTGGTACATATACACAATGGAGTACTACGCAGCTGTAAGAAAGAACATGGAGGGACCTGGAAAGTATCATCTTAAGTGAAACAAGCCAAACAGAGAAAAACAAGTTTCATATGATCTCACTTATTTGTGGAATATAATGAACATAACAGTCTGAGGAATGGGGTAGTCCCAGAGACGCGGAAGTGGGGTACAGACTGACAATCCCCAGAAGAGGGGGTGGTGGGGAGAGATAAACCACAGAACTTATATGCATGTATGCATGAACAGTGGACATGGACAACAAAATGGGGACAGGGCAGGGTGGTAGGGGGAGGGGGGAATCAGTGGGGGAAAAGGAGAAACATCTGTAACAAAAATTAATAAAAACAAAAACAAAAAACCAACTACTGCAATATAGAAACCTCCACAAGCAGAGTATCAGCAGTAACCAGGGAAAGAACCTTGACCCTTCCATAGAAATTAGACCTGACTCGGGCACTGGGAACTTAAGGCCAGTTGATGGTTGAAAAGAAAAGCAGTAGAGCTGCCCTCTCTCAGTGCTTGCAGCAAGGCTGGAGGAGCCAGACCTGCGATGGGCCTCGTGGTGGATAGTGGGTGCAGGAGTTCCCTTCCAGAAGCTCTGACCTGCCATGAAGGGGACATAGTACAAGAAGAAAGCAGACTGAGTCTGAAAGAGTGAAACATTCACTACTCAGCAAAACTGTGACACCCACACTTTGCTGTGATGTGACGATCTTCTGGGCCTGTCCCACTTCCTGTGGCCCAGACACCACATGGGCATCATCACTCAAGGCTATTAAAAGAGAACCACCACCCAGCTCTAGCAGGGCCCAAGCAAGGGAGTTCCAGGGGCCTGCACAACTCGGGCAAGGCCCCGCCCCTACAGGCAGGAAGCCTCAAGCTGTCGCTGAGTTGGCAAGGGCCCAGGCTACTGCCTGTCGTTGGGCTGACCACAGCTCTGGGTGGACAGAAAGCTCCAGAGTGAGAACAACCAGGGAGACACTGCCTCACACCTACAAACACCGTCAGGAGAGTCAGGAGAAAGACCCCTAACTTCTCACAGAGGAGCCAGCAGAGGGAGCCCATGGAAGTTGGGGAGGAAAGGTGTTGGCCTGGAAGCACTGACTCTTGAATGTTCCCTGAGTTCCCCATGGAGGAGGCTGTCTCCTCGTGTACTCAGGATCCATCCACTCTGAGTTGTGAAAGGAGGAACGGAGGGGGCCTCCTGGCCTCTTTCAGGTGACAGATACCCCAGGCCCCTGCGGTTTCCAACATCCTGTGGGTGGCCTGGTTTCTGCTGCCTTCGCTGCACCTCAAGACTGAGGCTGCAGCCACCGGTCTGTGTTCTGCCTTCCTGGAGCTTCAACAGGCATCCCCAGGGCAGCCACTGTGTGTCCCCCAGCACCTGGCAAGTTTCTGGGTGTTCAGAAATCACTGATGGGAGGGAAGGGAACATAGAGTATGCCATCATAAAGAGCACTTCTTATCTGCTGCCTCAGTGTCCTCCCCTGTCCTCTATCACCCCCACACAGCTTTTGAGAAACGGCCAATACAAGCTCATACCTCCTCCCACGTCCCCTTACACACGGGTTGCTGCATGCAGCCCAAAACACTACTCTCTTGCTCTACAATCATCACTGACTCCCACTTGCTTGCTGAGAAAGACTGTCACTTGGCTCCCACCTTGTCACCTGCTTCTCTCAGTGGCTTGCTCCCTGTCACTGGAGGATGTCTGGATGTCCTGTACTTTTCCTCTATTGTAACTTTTCTCATGTTTTTCACTCTGGGCCAATTCCTCCCCCTCACACCTACCAATCAATCGTACAGCCCACGTGCTAAGGTCCAGCTCTAGGAGCCTGAGTGAACTGCCACATTCTGCTGTTTCAGGGTGCAGGTGACCTGCCTTAATCACAGGAAGACATTGTGGGGTATAGGTGGGTTGAAGGAAAGCAAGGGGATTAGAAAGGGAGATGAGAGCCACAGCGTATCAGAGCATGCTGGCCTGGAAGTGAGGGGACACAGGTCTAGCCCCAGAGAGGTCAGCTTCCCTCTGCATGGTCTTGAGCAAGTCACTGAATATCCTCACCACTCACCTGCTTTCCCTACAAACCCCCCAAAAGCAAAGGTCTGCTGATAGTGAGTCTGTTTTCCTTTGTGGCTTTGACTGGACCACTGTCTCCTGTGCATCAAGTCTGAAGGGGTGCTGGGTCCTCAAATCAAGACCCTGGTGGCACCCTCTGCCTCTCTGACTTGTGGAGCAGTCAGTAACAAAGCTAGAGAACCAGCAAGGCAGCCGTGGTTCATTGATTTGTCTGAGAGGCTGTTGGCTTTTGAAATCAGACAGGAAGGAGGGTTGAGGTGGAGCCAACACAGGAAGAGGTGAAGAGTCTAGCTGCTGTGACAACCAGTTGGCTCAGGGACTGCAGGAGCTGGTGGGCTGTATCCCTGCTACCCTGAGTGGGCTTTATTCCTGCCCTGGACGGGTCCTGAGAGCTCAGGCACCAGCCAACTGGCCACAGAGAGAACCAGAACATCCCCACCACTGCCCAGCTGTCTCCACTGGAGCAGGGATAAGCCTGGGAGCACTGGGATGGAGCACCCTCTGGCCCCTTAGTATTGGCATCCCTGAGGCAACAAAACCCAGAAGGTAAGTAGAATCCAGGCTGCTTCAGTGCAAGATGATGGAGGAAGAGGAGGCAGCTAGCAGGAAGGACCGTGACTTTTGAGGCTGAGTTGTTCTGGGGAGGGGTGGCTGGGGAAACTCCAGAAAAGTGTCCCCATGGGTGCCAGGAGCTGCTGAACAGGACTAGTTTATGGTGTGGAATAAACAAATGTGCCCAAAGACAGCAAAAGGGACAAAACCTAGCTCCCCAGGTACCAATGATGGCACAGGAGGAGCAGGAAGTAGCTGGAAAGTGCTGCAGGCAGGCAAAAGGGATGCTGAGCAATGCAGCCCACTAGTTAAACTTGGAACCAGCAGACCTGGGTACCATTCCTGCACCGCCTTCCGCTGTAACATGGAGGTGACAGTATCAGACCTACCCCAGGGTCCTGAAGGCCCAGGGAGGCAGTGAGGGTGGGGTGGGGTCTGGTACTCAGTGCCTGCTCCATAAATGCTGCCCTCCTGCTGAGTGAGCAACCCCAGGGGTCTCTCCCAGCCCCACTCTTGGTGCAGATGAGGTTCATCATGCTGAGAGGAACAGTAACCATGGAGGCCTTCTCGGAAGAGGCACTGCTGAGCCAAGCCAGGGGTGGCTGTTTGTTGTGGGGTCCTCCCCTAAGGCCAGGCTAGTGGAGCCCCAGGGTTCCTCCCACTTCCCTCAGCGGAGGCACGTTTTCCCCAAGCCCAAGGGCTCACTCTTGACCTTCAGATTCCAGGTGGGGGTACACATTGGGTATCCCCTCCTCTGTCCCAGAGGCTCTGGGCTGCCCAGCATTGAGCCTGTCCCATCTTCCTACTGGGACTACTGGGACACCTAACCATGCCATTCCCTCCTCTGGGATAGGTTGTTTGGTCTCAAGTCCGGAGAGAGGAACATCCAAGAAACTGTGGCCTGAGATATGGGCACCCCAGGTAGGAGGTCATCGCCGCGGGCTCCCAACAGTCACCCAGTGCAGGTGGGCAAAGTGGAGGCCACAGTTCATACACAGGCCAAGCAGACAGCTAGGACTGAGGCCCCGGAGAGGGAAGCATAGGACAAGATGAGACATTGTCAGAGTCAAGGAGTAAATTGGGACCTGGGTCTTCTCAGGGGTGAAGCAGAAGCCCAAGGGACAGGGTCTAAGCAACATCAACAATAGGAACACAGGTCTTTAGCTCTGCCCTGCCCCACAGATGAAGCTCTGGGGAACTGTGTGGGAATTAGGGCGCCTGGCTCCATGGAAGCGGCACTGGTCCCGCAATTATCCATCTAGCCTTGCCCTTCACCCTCCAGCTCACCCTCTTGAGACTGAAAGCCTCCGGCATTTAAATCCCCAAAGGTGACCTGAGGCCCACTCGTCCTTAGTCCTCCTCTCTTGAAGCTGCTGCTCTCACTGGAAGCTGTGTGCACTGGACAGGGTCTACCTGTTGTCCCTGGTGACGAGTGTGGCCACTGGACCTCACCCACTCAAGGGCCTGTGGTAGGTTCTACCCTGCAGGAGTGGCATCTGGAGCCAGGTAGCCGCCCCATTGAGGGAGACCCCTTGTTAGCCCCTGATGCTGGCCTTTGGAGGTCTTGGGAGTGAAGTGCTTCCTGACCCACCTGCTGGAGTCTCCTCCTGTCCTCATTGAGACAAGGTGTCCAAAGGTAAAGGCTCAGTTGGGAAGAAGGGGTCTTATCTGATTGGGGGCCTAAGTAGGAGTGCCAGGTAAAACAATGAGGTTTTAAAAAAGCGTATAAGTGTATCCCAAGTATTAAATAGGATATACTTATACTAAAAGAATTATTTGTTGTTTATCTGAAATTCAAATTTCACTAGGTGTCTTGTATCTTTGCCAAATCTGGCAACGCTAAGCCCGAGGTCAGTGGGGTAAGAAAGATGGATGTCTGCTAAAGAGGGAGTGTTGAACCCCAACACTGGGAGGCTAATGGGACCACAGAAGAAGGAGAGCTTACTCCTCCCACCCTCCCAGGCACAGACCCTGTCTTTTCCTCATCCTTCACTCCTGCCTGCTGTTGTCCCTCCTTTGTCACTTTCCCAGACTCTCTGGTACAGTGGTTTGCAACTCGGGCTGCTTATTAGAATCACCTGGGTAGCTTTAAAATATATCCACAGACCAGTTAAATCTCTGGGTGGTTGGGCAATTAAAAGCAGTGGCGTTTAAAATAGCACTCTGGCCCTGGCCGGTTTGGCTCAGCAGTTAGAGCGTCGGCCTTCGGTCCAGAGAGACCCGGGTTCAGTTCCTGCTAAGGACATGTACCTCGGTTGCAGTTTGTCCCCGGCTCTGATTGGGTCATGTGGGTCTCTCTCCCTCCCACTCTATCTGAACAAAAAATAAAAAAATGTCCTCGGGTGAGGAAAGAAAGAAAGAGAGAGAGAAAGAGAGAAAGAGAGAGAAAGAAAGAAAAAGAAAGAAAGAAAGGAAGGAAGGAAGGAAGGAAGGAAGGAAGGAAGGAAGGAAGGAAGGAAGGAAGGAAGGAGGGAAGAAAGAAAGGAAGGAAGAAAGGAAGGAAGAAAGGAAGGAAGGAAGGGCACTCTGGCCCGGCCCATGTGGCTCAGTGGTTGAGCATCAACCCATGCACCAAGCTGGGTTGCCGGTTCAATTCCTGGTCAGGGCAGATGCCCAGGTTATGGGCAAAATCCCCAATGGGGGGCATGCAGGAGGCAGCCAGTCAATGTTCTCTCTCAGAGATGCTTCTATCTCTCTCTCCCTCTCCCTTTCTCTCTCTCTAAAATCAATAAAGAAAAAAAAATTTTAAAAAATGAAATAAAATAAAAATAGTACTCCAGCTTTGGCCAGTTTGGCTCAGTGGTTAGAGCACTGGCCTGCAGACTGAAGGGTTGTGGGTTCGATTCCCAGTCAAGGGCGTGAGCCTGGATTGAAGGTTCAATCCGCAGGCCTAGTCAGGGTCATGTGGAAGGCAACCGATCGATGTGTCTCTCTCACATCAATGTTTCTTTCTCTTTCTCTCCCCTTCCCTCCCTTCCACTCTGTCTAAAAATCAATGGAAAAATATCCTTGGGTGAGGATTAAAAAAAATAGCACTCCATTTTTAACAAACTATAGAAATGATCCCTGAAAGTATAGTCTCAGCACTCCATTTTTTAAAAAGAAGGCTCGCCCTGGCCGGTTTGGCTCAGTGGTTGGAGCATCGGTCTGTGGTCCAGAGAGACCCGGGTTCGGTTCCCGCTAAGGGCGCATACCTCTGTTGCAGTTTGTCCCTGGCCCTGGATGGGTCGTGTGGGTGGCAACCACTCCATGTGGCCCTTTCACGTCGATATTTCTCTCTCTCTCTCTCCCTCCCATTCTATCTGAACAAAAATGGAAAAATGTCCTCGGGTGAGGATAAAAAAAATTTTTTTTAGAGAAAAAAAAAAAAAAAGAAGGCTCATATTATCTAGCAAGTCCATTTCTGGGTATATTAATTAATAATAATTAAAAGAAGGGTCTTAAGCCTGGCCAGTGTGTCTCAGTGGTTGATCATTGACCCATGCACCAAGAGGTCGCCAGTATGATTCCCAGTCAGGGCACATGCCCAGGTTCTGGGCCCGATCCTCAGTGGGGGGCATGCAGGAAGCGGCCAATCGATGTTCTCTCTCATCAGTGTTTCTGTCTCTCTCTTCCTCTCTCTCTAAAGTCAACAAAGAAAAATAAATTTAAAAAAAAGAAGGGTCTTATACAGATATTTGTACACCCATGTTTCTAGCTGCATCATTCACAAAAGTAAAAAAAGTGGAAACAAAACAAGTATCCATAGACAGATGAATGAATAAACAAAATGTGGTCTTTCAGTAAATAGAATATTATTTAGCCGCAAAAAGGAATGAAATTCTGAAAGTGTTACAACACAGGCGAACCTGAAAAACATCAGGCTCAGTGAAAGAGGTCAGAAGCAAAAGGACAAATACTATATGATTTCAATTATATGAGGTACCTAGAGTTGTCAAATTCATGTTGAAAGTAGAATGGTGAACCATACACGTTTTCCTTCAGTTCAGGAGTCTCAGATTCACCGAAGTCCACCCAAATGTCCCCTCTATTGTTCTCAGGGTCCCACTTCTTCCAAATCAACACCTTAAATTTTATACGAAGGCGTGTTACTGCAGCCTGCAGGATCAAATTCTGGGTTATGTTTTCAGTTTCATTCTTATGGCTACAGGATATTAAAGATATCATTTCTGGCCATCAGAAAATAAAAATTATAATAATTTTTTAAAAAAGAAAGTAGAATGGTGGGTGCCAGGGTCTGGGAAAGGGGAAATGAATGGGGAGTTCGTGTTTAATGAGCACAGATTTTATATTTGGGAACATGAAAAACTTCTAGAGGTACATGTTGGTGATGGTTACACAACACTGCAAATGTAGTTAATACCACTGAATTGTACACTTAAAAAAGGTTAAAATGGCCCTGGCCGGTTTGGCTCAGTGGTTGGAGCTTCGGCCCGCGGACCAGAGAGTCCCAGGTTCGGTTCCCGCTAAGGGCACGTACCTCGGTTGCAGTTTGTCCTCGGCCCCGGTTGGGGTCATGTGGGTGGCAGCCACTCGATGTGTCTCTCTCACATCAATGTTTCTCTCTCTCTTCCTCCCTGTCTCCCTCCTTCTCTATCTGAAGATAAATGCAAAAATGTCCTCTGGTGAGGATAAAAAAAAAAAAAAAAAGGTTAAAATGATAAATTTTATGTTATACATATTTTACTATAATAAAAAATTAAATTAAACATATAGTTGTCCAGAAAATGTCCTGCCACAACTGAGAACCACTGAGCCTGGCCCTTCTTTAACATGATCCCCTCTTCCTTCTGGCCACTGCCTTGCCCTCAGCAGTAGCATAGTTTGTCACCTGATGGGTGTACCTGGCCATGGTCCACCTCTGGGCTATCCCTGATACCACCCAGTCCAACAGCAGGACAGAGATCCTAGTTGTGCTAAGAGACTGCAATAGCATTGCTTCACTTTGGTTTATATACATTTAAATTTTTAGGTACCTGCTAGCATAACTTTTT